AGACTACTCCAACACTGTGTTTCACCACCGTGACACCAAAGCTCACGCCCAGAAGAGAGCCTGATGGAAACACGGGGCATGCTCAAACCAGACCACTTACGCAACTCTTCATTTACTGACGCTCCAACCTTTTACTGTGACCTCCCCAACCTAAGGAGAAGCAGGGAGTCCCTGGCAGGGGCAGATTCTTGTATGGACGAGAACTCAAGAGTTCAAAACAAGGGGTGAAGGGAACAACCCAGGGTCATTTCTATGCGCTTCTCTCAATCTCAGCAACCCCAGATTTATAGAGTATTTTGTACTATAGCGACAGATTTAACCAAGCAAGAGATTTTGTCAAATTCTTGTTAACTCTGGAGGAGTTTATACTTTCCCCAGTGTTGCCAAGTGGAGCTCCCTTAGATTCAGGGTGACCAAGGGAAGACATTCCCCTGACTGATAAGGGGACAGAACTCTAGGTTTGGTCCTCACATGTGCTTGGTTTGGATCCAGTTTTCTAACAGAAATCAATTCCCGTGTTGTTTTATATTTGTGACTATTTTGAGCACAGCGTTTCATGGCTCTGTGATACTTAGTTTTGCTTGAGACAGGGTTATCGCATGTAGCCCAGGCTGATCTCAAGCTCACTAGAGAGCTGAGGAAGACCTGGAGCTCCTGACACTCTTGCCTCGACCTCAGGTGCTGGAGTTGCAGATGTGTGACGGCACACCCACTTTTGTATTTCTCAAAAGGAAAAAGCTTGCTATGGAAAGCTGGCAGGGACATTCGCATGTAGGCTGCATTTGTGTTCTCATCCTGAAATTACAAAGAATCTTCCTGCTCAAAAGTGCATTCACTGAGAATATTAAAAAATGAAGACTTGGGTCCCATTAAGGACCTACAAGGAAGAGTATGCATTATAAAGAGGACCCCTGGGGAATGGAATGTGGGAAGTGCCAACGCAGAGGAATGTTCTGAAGTCAGCCAACGATATAACATAAGCCATAAGCCTTGAGGAAAGACAGGATTGTCTTCATGTGGAAATTTTGCGCCAAAATTTCAACCAGGAATAGATCAATTTTTAGACACGATTCACTTTAAAAAATAAAAAATGACACTTGCCATGTTGCTAATGTATAGTAGTAAAGTTTAAGAATAACAATATGTAAGTTAAGTCAACATACATTACATAAAGTACTTGAATTAATTATATACAATCTTTGTTTACAACACAGGAATTTTCTTAGCAAAACGAGATTGCTACACTGAATTCTAGAAACAGGAATACTGCCTTAACTCACAAGCACTCAGTGACCATGATGGTCATTTAAAAAGAAAAATGTGTCCAACCAATAACATCACTGTGAACAGATTCCAGGTTGATAAACTCTGGAGCCCTTTCTCAAAGGAATTTGGCCAGAATTTTAAGCTGTTATCTTCCTATGAGTATCTCTGGGCAGATCAGTGTCTGTGTGAGAATGGATGGAAGGAGACTGGGGACCAGGGACACAGCTGCGGATCAGAGAGGCAGCTCGTGGGACAGTGAGAAGATGGCTTCAGTGGCAGGTATTAAGAAGTTTCCCAGCTCCATTCGTGACAAAGAACACATGAGCAAAGGCTGTCTCTCTGGCCTTCCTCATGCCAGACTGCGGCTGGCATGTAGACTACCCATTGTGACTGTCCTTTTTGACTACCTCGACACAAATATTAACCTGGTTCGCCCTGTAAAAGAGCAAAAGAAACTAGAGAGATGGACAGACTGTTATGTCGTTGAATTTGTTTCCCCACCATCTCCTGAGACGACAATCCCAGAGATGAATGCAGACCAGCCTCATCGCCCCAGGCAATGGAAGCATCCTATGCTTCCCAGCATAAAATGAGACATGGTGAAGAACAGTGTCTGCATCCCTTTGATGCCCTGCTCTGCACTCTGCATTAGTTCAATCCCCTCTCCCCTGTGCATCTTACCTCCTGCAAATACAACTGGAGAAGGATGCTGGAGGACCATTACAGTTCGGAAAAGAAAAGGCAAGTGCCAAATTATCCCAGTTCTCTTAGGGGAAACTGAGCCAAGTGACTGGGTATCACTCAGGTCACGCCCCCAACTCTGGCACAACGTTCAATCCTAAGAGGGGCTCTGCACTTCTGCCCAAGTCTCCTGCCACCAACCTGCTTACCCTTGAGAGGTGCACGGAAAACAGGTTTTGCATTTGAGCATACACATTTGTACACAGCCTCGGGATTTAGCATCTCCTCCATCTCTGTTTTCTGTTTTTCCTTCACTGATCTGCCCAGAGTCCAGTTTCAGCAGTATCTTGTGGTGATCCCATATTTCAAGTCTCCTCTGCACTGAATAGAATCTAATGTTAAGCATCATTGCTGAATGACAGATACGATCAACCCATTCAGAGAGCAGCTGCTTTATGTGCAGCGAACACGGGAAAGAGGAAACGAAAACAGCAAACAATCCCTCACATGAGACCATGTGCTCTTTCCCTTAGGAATCCTACTGTTCCCTTGCCCTCTCTTTTATTCTTTTTCTTCATTTTTCTCATCTCCTTTTCTTTGTGTCCTCGTGTTCTGCTCTGCCTTGTGTGCATGTGTGTGCACATTTCTGTGCGTCTCTGCACATCTGTGTGTGCATATGTTTGTGTGTGTCTCTATGTGTCTTATGTGAATATCTGTATGTCTCTGTCTCCATCTCTCTTGCACACTTTGTCGTGTGTGTGTGCAAATCTATGTATATTTGTGTGAGCCTCTGTGTGCATAAACCTATGCATATCTCCGTGTGTTTGTGTATGTGTCTCTGTGTGCATGTGTGTGTGTTCTTTTTGGCAAGGATATCTTATGGCACCTGCAAGAATAAGCAATATAACACATAGATTCAGATTTCTCATCTCAGCTTTCCTATCCTAAGGATGGTTTCTGTCACCAGAGGAAGGATACCTAGAGTCAAAAGAGCTGAAACTTGTACTGGCACCATCCACAGTGGAACAGGCAGAAGTCATGAGCATGGCAGACCTGGGTAGGATCTCCCTCTACCCAGCTGACCCTGGTAAGATCATAGCCATCCACTGGCTAGCTTGGGCAAGTCTGCCGAATTTAAATACAAGTTTAAAAGAAAAATCAAGATAACACTTGTCAAGTCCTTGTCTATGAGCAGTTTATTGGGGGAAATCATTTGCACTGAAAAGTATTTTTAAATAATCTGTTTTTTAAATCAATGCATATTTAAATAAAAGTAGAATCACAAATACCACTGGCTTCTAAGACAGCTTATATACGAATGAATGTGCAGATCAAAGCGCTCAGGTAATGATGTCTTGAAATAAAATGGATTTTTACATGTGTTACTGGTTCTTTGTCCCGGAGTTCTGACTTTGTTTAAGGTTTCTGACATACAGGAAATATTACAAATTTACGTTTTCTCGATGATTTTTTTCTTTTCCTTTCTCTTCTATTCTCAAATGTGTATTTCAATACTTAACCAAGTTAAATGTGTGCTTTATAAAATGTCATACTTGTTAGTATTGTTGGCCTCTTCTTAAGGGCGCTGTGGTAAGTCATACCAGGTGTTCCTTCAAAAAAAAATTTAAAAAGCATCAGATAACTGATTCTATTTTTAGACTTATGATGACATAATTATCCTATCAAACTTGGGGTTTGGGGACTATCCTCATTTTTAAATAAATCTATATTTTTGAAAGAAGTTTTCTGAGCAATGTGTCCTTTTATAAGCAATGAAATAAAACTATTAAACTTTTGTGCCAAATCTTACTCTTCAACTAAATTTGAATTTTCTATATGGGCTGCAAAGGCATCTCACCAGTCATACTAACTTGTTTGGATGCCTTTATCTCTTACTATAAATACTACCTTATTCTAAATCACTTTTCATAATGTCGATTGAGCAATTAACATAAACCTGACACTTGGATCTACTTGGATCTTTGTAGTCTTGTGCAATGCAATCTAGTTAGAGAGCCCATCGCCTTTGCACAAAATCACCTTGGTGATTCATCACAGGGCCCAAATGTGGTATCCAAAATAAAAGCAAAGTAAGATGCAGCCAGCCTTGTTACAAGACGGCGCTTCAGCTAGGGATGATGTTGTGTTCACAGTTGCCATATTTGAGTCACAAAAGCTTGACATCTTAATTCAGCATCGTATTCCTGTTTGCCATCATCCTGAACAAAGCACTCAGTGGGCACACCAGCAAACCAGTCGCTGTGAAGCCCTTCACAATATTTCCACACTACCCATGCTGTCCCTGGTTCAGAACCTTGTCTTTGCCGGCTTCACTATCATAGTCTCCCTAACTCCCATCGTTCAGTCTTTGGTATTTTCTTAATACACCTTTGGCACCTAGTCTTCCCGATCTATGTTTGTCAACAACAGTTCTTTAAATGAAATACTCCATAGGACAAAAACTTCGGACCCAGAGGTCGGACGTCTCACTCAAACCTCAAGAACACGAGGAATCACTTCCAACAATGTCATAAATCTATCCAACTTGTTACCTCTTCACCCTTAGAACTTTAAAAGACAGGAACTCACCTAAACCTCCCCCACAAAGGCATTCTCAGACGTTTTGTTAAGGGGTAAGTGATCGACTGCTGTACAAAAATCAGTGCAATGTTTCATCCCGGCACCTTCCGTGAGCTCTTAGCAGGATGAAGAAATAACAACATGTCTAAATTCTATTATTCTCATCAACTTTCCAGGGCAGGTTTTTTTTTAAAAAAAAATTATCATCCTATTAAAAACGTATTTTGCCTGCCTACACTTTCCTGAGCTTCACAGCCTTTAAAAAAAAGTAAGATCATAAATAAAATTTCAACTCTAAAAGGCCCAGCACAAATGTTAATCAACCCGTAGAACTTAAAGATGTTCCTATATGCAATGCTAATTTATTACATTTCATTCTTAAAGAGAAAGTCTGTTCAGATCAAATAAGAGGAATCAAGAAAGAGGAGGAAAAGGAAGAGGAGGAGAAGAGGAAGGAGTAGGAGAAGGAGGAGGAGGAGAAGAAGAAGAAGAAGGAGAAGAAGAAGAAGAAGAAGAAGAAGAAGAAGAAGAAGAAGAAGAAGAAGAAGAAGAAGAAGAAGAAGAAGCAGCAGGTGGTGGTGGTGGTGGTGGTGTTACATTGAACAAGTAAGCTTCAGTATATACTGACCCCATCTTGAACTGCCATTCATGGTTAAAGGATACTAATGACAAATGACCATTTGGCACAGTGTTTGACAAGCCATAGAATTTCTGAAAGAACGGAACTCTCACTGCATAAATAAAATTAGATTCATTCCACTCCTAGTCCTCAGGGTCACAACACTATCAACTTAATATGATTTTATTTTGGCTAATGTTCAATAAGAGTAGGTAGAATTTAGATGGGGGAGTGACTTAAGAATTTTAACCTCACAGGTTGACCAGAGATCAATCCCTTCCTATCTCAAGAACAATTTAAAAACCTTTTCTTCTAAAGCAGCGACTCACTGCTTTATGATAAAGTAGGTCTATTTTCCATTCAATGTGATGGCACTAAGGATTGTGGGTAAGGAATACCCATGGTTCTCTCCCCTCAGTTCGGCATGCATCTCATCACTGAGATCAAGTGCACTGATAATTAGTGTCTTATATTAACATCGTCACTATAAACAGTTCAGGCATTTAGAAACAAAATATCAATGAACTTAACAGTTACTTTAATTCATTTTATAAATAAGCAACTGAGAATTTTGCTCCAAGTGGTCACCAGTGTAGCCCATCCCGTAGATGGCATTCTCCGAAGTGTAAGGCACAATGTGGTAGGAATGCAGCTCTTCATAGTAGAGAGACTGGGAACAGCACTCCTGTACCATAAACTTCAGCCGTTTTCTTGTATCCGAATAAGCAGTCTTATAGGGGGGAGATTCCTTAAAGTATTCATAGCTCTCTTTCTCCGTCTCTAGGTGTATCTTCCTCAGCAAATTGTTAATTAACACAGACCTTCGTAAGTAGGTTTCTGGGTCTTCGAGAAACCTGAGCTTCTCCAGGGAAAGTTTGAGGATACAGGTCCTGTCTTCGGGTAATATCAGGTGCTAGGGGGCAAACAGAGCCATTACTTTCCGCATAGAAACACAGAAGCTGGGGCTTCATGCTTTCAAAGACATTCGGGGGAGGGAAAGGGGGGAAGGCATTGGGAGAAAAGTAAAGCCTTACTTTTGGAAAACACCCATGGTAACCTTGATGTAAATCTTCTTCTTCTGCATATTTCCTCTTAAAGTAGGCTACTTTCGACGTTGTTAATGAATATGACGGTACTTCTCTCGGATAAGCTAAAACAAAACACAGTTGGGGAAAGGTCAGGTGGCGTCGCGACAAAGAGCTTCATCAGGTGGCAGCCATTTGTAAGCAGAAATTCTGGTGCCCCCAGAGATGGCTACCTTCTCACCAAACAGCGCTGCCGTTGGCAATTGTCTTATGATTGAAATGCCTATTGGCAGAAAAATGCCATCATTTTCCAATCCAAAATAGATGGTTGCATTTAGAGTCCTGTGTTCATCTCTTCGTGCAGCCACAGAAATCAAATTCAAGTTTAATTTCATGCTTTTTGGGCCAAAATATACCCAAGTTCGACATTGATACACAAAATATAGTGGAAGGTGTTAAGTAATTTTTCCCTCACTCTTTTTGCTAATCTTCCCAATATTCTGGGGAAGCTAACACTTCTAGAGTAACCCAAGTGACGTAAAAGAGTTCTTGACCCAATTATTCCTTTAAAAATAATGGTATAATCCTTAAAATCAATCCAAACAATTGTTCTTACTCCCACAGATAATGTAGTCTTCACCCCACATCAAGGAAACTTCTTTTTGTAACAGGCAGAGACCACACAGAAAACCACAACCAATCACAATGCAGAGTTGTGGAGACCAGTCTCAAGGACATATCTACAAAATGCTCTCTCACCTAAAGTTTGGGGAACATTGAAGAAGAGAGTGGGAAAGGATTGTAAGAGTTAGAATTTGCTCTGAGATTGTGTCTTCTAGAAACATGAGAAGCTATGAGCATAAAGTCTCACCAGCATGACCACCCAAATGAGAGCTAAACAAGGACAGACATGTCAAACTGGACAGGAAAATGTCCAAGAGACCTCAACTCTAAACAAAGAACTACAGGCAATTGAGGAAAGCTGCCAGTGGGGGAGGTGGCTCTCCCTAGGGAAGAGAATACCAAGTTTTTGTTAAGTGCCAAATGGAATGGTCAGCTCTGAAAACATACATATGAGTAATGTCATATGGACTAAACAGGTTATATATAGGAATGCACACACACACATATATATGTACGTATATATACTGTAACAACTATTGAAAAGAGAGGCCCACGAATTTGAGAAAGAGCAGGAACAGTATTTGTATTTGGGAGGCCTGAAGGGAGGAAAGAAAAGTGAGAAGTGCTGTAATTAATATGCAATTTCAAAAATGAGTAACAAAAATAATTAATTAACGTAAGCCTATATCTTCCGGCAAAACCATTTTATATGATTATGATTTAGCCATAATCCTGACATTTGGCATAACGGAGGTTAATCATTAGGAAACGGAAGAGAAAGGCTAGTATAATTGGCTTTAGTGTTAATATGAGAAAGTAGGAACCTTTGTTTCCTCCTCGAAAATGCTACTGCAGCTGAGGATTCTGACTTTAAGGAAAAACAGTTCTCCAAGATTTCCAGAGGGATTCCCAGGATGTACTCTAGATGGCGCTGTGACCACAGAAAGGTAGCAAAACAGGGGCTTTCGATTCAAAGCCGAGTGAATGTAGAAAACAAACCAAGCCCTGTTTGGTACTCATTCAACCTCCAGGGTCCTAAACACACTTACAGTTTAACAATCTATTTACCCTTTACTCAGACCCTCAAATATTTGTGTTAGAATCACTCGATTCATAAAATAATGAGTATGTAAAGACATGTGGGTTAAATACATTTATACCAGGGCATTTGATGCTTTTCCTCTAAAATGTAGAGCTTTAACGAGCTTAAGTATTAAAAATATGCTCTTCAATAACCTCCTTTCTGTAGTGTTTCCTTTGTCTCAGAGGCATGCGCACATAACCTTCATGCAGCCCTTCTGCAGCTGGAGGGTTCTCCAGAGCCAGCAGGGAAAGTTAGAGGCCTCAGCTTAAGCATCCTAACTTCTCCCCCCCCCTCCCCCCGTTGCTGTGGGTTACAGAGCCAAGAAAGCCATAAGTAAGTGCGGGTATGTCTCACTAAGGAATCCAGGATTCAAAGCGCTTGCGGTATGGGACCTAAAAGAGACGCAAGCTGTGACAAGGACTCGGTAGCTGAAGCACCACCACACACAGTTCCTGAACTTAATAAACAAAACACAGCTTATGTAGATTCTTCACTGGTTTGAAAGGGCAAGGGCAAAGAACAATACTGATCAAAAAAAGAAACGAAACCATCACCAAACCCAGGTTTCTAGGGTTTGTCTGCTTTGTTTTTAAGAGAATGGAACCATTAGGATCACTTGGAAAGCTAATAACTAGAGAACAAAATTTTAGTTTGTCCCATGTGATGATGCCTGTTATCGTGTATGAGCACACACGTGTACACATGTATGTGCCTGTGTGTGGTATATGCATGTGTATGTGTTCCTGTTTGTATACCTCTACATAAAGGTAGGTGCACATGCAAACAGAGGTCAGAGGTCCACAAGGATTTTCTTCCACAGTTGATCTGCACATCACATTACATAGTTGAGTAGGGCTGTCTCACTGAGCCCGGAGATTCACAAACTGGCTGAAGCCCTAGGGACCCTCTTACCTTCACCGTCTCAGCATTCAGATTACAGGGCCTTGCCACAGCCTGGCTTTTACATGAGGGCTTGGGATCCAAACTCAGGTCTTCATGTGTACACAGCAAGTACTTTACATGCTGAGCCATTCCTGTTCCCAGTCCCTAGTCCTACTTTGATGTTGTTGTTGCTGTTTTGGGGTTTTCTGTTTTGTTTTGTTTTTCGAGACAGGGTTTCTCTGTAGCTTTGGAGCCTGTCCTGGAACTAGCTCTTGTAGACCAGGCTGGCCTCGAACACACAGAGATCCGCCTGCCTCTGCCTCTGCCTCCTGAGTGCTGGGATTAAAGGCGTGCGCCACCATCACGGCCCAGCTTTATTAGCCGTCTAACTGGTTGATGTAATAGCGGTTCTCAAATGTTAGCGCACATGAAAATCCCTTGCAGGATTTTCATAAACTGCATGCTTAGCCCTGCTGCTCTGCCTTTTCATTGGGTCTGGATGAGAAAATGTGCACTTTTACCCCTTTTCCCAGTGAGATCCACGCTGGCTTGCCTGGGCCACATTTTAAGAACCTAAGTGTCACAGCACAGGGCGACTGAACTATTGGGTAATGAAAGTTGATCTCAGCCAATCAACTGGGAGCCAAGCGAAGGGCTTGACTGTGGCTATTGCTTCCCTTTATTAGCTTGGGTGCTTTTTTCTTTTCATCAAGAACACAGCTAGCTCACATTTTAATTACACAGGAAAGAATGAATTCCATATTGAACAGGACTCCCTGGGTTCACCTTAAGAGGCTTCAATGCCTGTTACCAGCATTGGTGCTTAGGTAGGTTATGATTTCTCTTGGTGAGAGCTAGTGAATTACTCTAGTGAAGGGGAGAGTGAGGGAAGACTTGGAAATAAGAAGCACAACTTTGTCATAGCAACCTTGTTTCCATCTATATAGTGTCCTTCAGTAAACACTGGCTTCCTCACCTTAAGTATGGAGCATTTGCAGCAAGTTAAAAGGCGCTTGGCAGCACAGTGGAGGACAAATTTTAGCTTGGAGAAGGACGTGTCAAACTTACTGCTCTGCTTCCCTCTCCCAAAAGATCCTACAAGGAAGCTATTTCAACCTAACAAATTGTATGTGTGTGTATATATACATACACATATATATGATGAATTCATACTCATAATATATATTACTCTATATACAATATAATAAATTCATTCTGTGTGTGTGTGTGTGTTCATTCTAAGGATTCTGGATGGCCATATTCCAGAAATTAGCCTAAACTACAGAATGCACCAGCGCTTGGAAATCCAGAGTAAACATTCCGAGGTCTAGACCCGAGGCAGCTCCTCCTAGGCAGGGCTCTTAGTCACTCGGTTTATTGTTCTTGGGGAAACACTCCCACTGCTGGCTGCTGAACCTCTGAGCAGCTTTCACAGCTGCTGTCAGCTTGGCAATCCCCTCCACGCTAGCTGCCTGGCTCTTTGCAATGTTTTCCACATCACTTTTTGCAAGATGGTTTTAGCCACTTTGAGGCTAAAGTATGTAGCAAACGTAAGTCGCTACATCTATTTACTTGCTGGATTAAAACTCCAAAGCTTCAGAGCTGGCAGCTACGCTATTGATCGTGTTGGTCAGCCTCCTCAGAGCCTGGATGAGGAAACCACCGCCCAGAAGAGACTCTAGTTGACAGCCAGTTGTGTGGCTAAGAGTTGGTCTGGAAGTGGGGGAAGGCATAGGTTGATCTACAGCTCTATATATAGCTTCTCGGTTGTGGGACTTTAAACAAATTACCTAAACTCGTTACAAATATCATTTTCAGGGTTAGAAATACACTGGCTCCTGCAGTTATGCAAAGTAACATCACACCTAATATATGGAAACCCCACATCAAATCATAATAATGAGTGCCAACAGACCGAGACCAGTCACACGAAAGCCAGGCCCACCCCCTCCCCACTAGCTCAGACCTAAAGCTCATTGCCACCACCCAGAACTCAGAGGGGATAGCTATTGGTTGAAAGCTTCCAAGAAGCTAGCTCAGAGAGTCAATATGAAAGACATTATACAAATCCCATAACCTCTCTGAGAACGTGTTTCTGGTGTGTTACTATTGGCCGTGCTTTTGGGGCTAAGGAAATGTGAACTATCTACCAAACGTTTAGCTAATCTCCCGGATGACTCATAAGTGCTGATCTGAATGCCCAAAGATGTTCACTTGCTGTGACTGAGTAGACAGGAATAAATGCACTTATGTCCCTGCAACCAAAAAGCTTGTAATTCATCTAAAAACCCAAAGAATAAACAATAGCAACGTGACTAGATGCCTTTAGAGTCGGCCTTCTGAGTTTACAAATTACAAAACCAGATTGAGCTGAGCTGGAATTTATTTCTGAAGTGAAACAGCTAATGCTGGTTTGAACATAAAAATTACTTCTAATGCTGTACCCTCTGGGTCACACAAAATGTCTGTGCCAGGCTCCATGCATATATGTGTAAGAATGTAAGAGCTCAAGCAAGTAACACAGCAAAAGCCACAGACCAGACTGGCCCACCGGTCATTAGAGCTCTGGCAGGGCAATTCATATATATGTCTTTAAATAAATGCTTCAAATCCGATTACAAACGATTGCTTCCTTATTGCTCTGCATTCGCCTCCAGGCAACTGGGATCCTGTTAGCATTCAAGTGATTTCATTTGGTAGGAGGCCCAGGGACAGTACATTAAGGCAACATCATCAGCAAATTAATTTATAAACACTTTGAAAGGGCAGACAACAGTAAAAGAACACCCAACTAAGTAATTTATTTTTTTTTTCTTTAAATCAAAGGAAAAACCGAAAAAAAGAGCAATGAGCTTCGCTGGACCAACAGCCCACGCCTATCACAGACAAAGTACCGCCTCATCAGGTCTCCTATTGTGATGTTAGCCCAGGCATGGCCTTTGAAAGTATAAGTGTTCTGTTTGTCTAAACCAGGCTCAGCTGAGAGGAAAACTATCAGAGATGATGGTTTTCATTCTAAAGGCCAAAAATCCTTTTGTTTGGGATTATCTAATCTAGGTCTGGTTTGTAACTTGGTGGTAGGGCAGTCACCGCGCGAATCCTCAATGTAACCAGAGAAACACCAAACAGAAATAACAACAACAACAACAACAAACAACAAAGAGAATTATCTCATCTGACCCTGATAGCCACAGTTTGCGGTCTTGCTGCGTGGCTTAAAGCACTCCACCATGACAAATTTCGCTTCTGTCATGTGTTTCCTGTCCTCCAGGTGTAACCTGAAAGAGCCTGAGGTCTTTCTCATGGGTGGGTGGGGGGCAACAACTTCCGATTCACTGATGTGTTTGTCATTCAGCTGGGACGGTGGCTTACAAGCACTTTCTTCTATGTCTGTCCCACACACTCAGTTTCGGCTCAATCACTGTGATGTATCATGATTGCCATGGCCCCTTTTCAAAGCATGAATATGTAGCCTACTCAGAAGCATCACGTTATATGTAGGACACTGGTGCCCTCACTGGTGTGAAGCACGGGTTACATAAAACATTCATGAGTGTGTTCATGGAGGCAGATGGGAACAAAGTCCAAGTCTGGACTGGCTTGCTGTCCGGGGACAGATAGCTTTGTTGATACCTAGCAGTACTCCATCAGCTATCTTCACTGTGTCAATACCCCCCCTGCAAGCACCCAGCACCTTTCTAGAGGATTTGATGCTTTCTGGATGATAGGATGCTCTATGGTAGCAGAGCTCGGTGTCAATGTTTAGCTCTGAATCAATGGAACAATCTGTTTCTTCAGATTTATCATCCATTCCAAGCACAATATTGATTTTATTGGTGGTTTCAGATTACCAACAAGTTACAGATTCTGGAAGGCTTCCTTAGGAACTTCCAGGGAGACTGATAGCCAGTGATGTCTCAAGATAGCAGCAGCACTGTCTGGCCTGAGAGTCCTGGTCCCCTGGCATAGTTCCTACACAGAAGGAGACTACTGAACAAAGCATTATCAGTCCCACAAACCCATCTTGTTCTGCTGATTACTGAACCGGAGAAAATGCCATTAAACAAGAGGTGACCAGCCAGGCAATAAGGAAGTTACGCTGCACCTCAGCCCACTACTCCAATAAGTTGGTCAATGGCAATGACAGAGGCCAAAAGTCATGAGCTTTGAGAGTACATCTTGTGATGTATATCACCATCTGGGGAATGGTGCTCCCCATTCCCTGCACTCTTCACCTTAGAATCTGGGTCTGACAGAAAATTGGCCACACATCTACATTTCTTGATATGGCTTCCAAAAATTATCTCACTAATAATATCTAGAGAGAGAGTCTAACTCTCGTGGGTACCGAGGGCCTGTGCTCAGGGAGGAGAGTCTAGATCCCTGACCTATGCACAATAGAGGCCTTTTAGATAGTCCTAACCAGTATCATGGGGCTGGAGAGATAGCTTACCAGTTAAGAAAACTGACTACTATTCCAAAGGTCCTGAGTTCAATTCCCAGCAACCACATGGTGGCTCACAAGCATCTGTAATGAGATCTGGTGCCCTCTTGAGGAAGAGACCTGGTCAGTCATCCTCATCCACTTTGACCATGAAACCCAAAATGGACAAGTTCAACAGAACCGCCATATATGGGCTGCCCATGCATGCTTCAGCATTGCCAGGGCATAAATTTCATTTCATTTTCAACCAGTCTCCCCCACAGGCTCTTTTGTTTGTATATCATCCATTACCACACCTTATTTAGGTGTGTCAACAAAATCCCCCCAAGGCCAGGTTTGCCTCAGTTGTCCAAGAAGAACTGTGTAAAACTCAGAACCACCACTTGCTTCTCTATGAGCCCTTGCTCTGGTGTTGAGATGTTCTGCCTTCCACTCCCGTGGTGTCAGTTTTGAGTTCCCATCTAGAGATTCTCTAGCAAGAAAATTATCTTCGGCAGTGGGGTGCCTTCCTTCTACAGGCATGGGGCATCCTTAAAATACATTGTGCTCAAGCTCAGACAAGCATCTTCTGAAGCCACTGACTGTTTTACCTAGACATGACAAGTAGCAGTTAGAGAGAGAACTGGGCCTTTGGGCTCCTGATTCCCACTTCTCTTGGGAAGCATCCCCAACCTTTTCAGATCCTGACCTATCCCTTTGGGTTGGCCCCTGTGGTCTCACAGACCTCTGGTACAGCCCTGCAGAGCGGCCAGTTTCAAATCTGCGCCTCTTCTCCATCCACTCACTAGTATTTAGAAGTCTTTTCTGTCTCCATTAGGAAGACTTGCTCTTGCCTCTACAGTCAAGAATATAAAAGTGAATCCTTGGTTTATTCTAAATAAACTCTCTTTGACAGTACCGAATGCAACAATGGTAAACCTTTACTGCCTTTCACTAAAACCCCCCATTCGTCCCTCTGAGGATTATTTCCTGAAATCGAATGAGTCTGTATTGGTGTCTTTGTATAATTTTGACTGGCGTAAAAATTTAAAATAATTGTGTTAGGCTAAATGAGGGAAATAATGTACTAGAATTATTTCAATAAACAACTTATTGTTAATGTAAGTTAAAAATGTAATTTTTTACTGTAAATTCAATATAAATAAAGAGGGTTAACAAGATTGGCTTCTTTAGTCCCCTAGGCTCAATATAAAGGCAGGTTTTTCTTCCTTCATTTCATGCTGAAAGTTTGGTCAGTTCACACCTGCCTCCATTTCTGAGAAGGCTATATTTCATATATATATAGGTATATATATACCTATATGTATATATATATAATTTCATATTTATGTTGTCATGTAGGTCTCAGAAGCACATACTGCTCTGGAAGACAGTCTATGCTGGCTATGTATTGACTTCCAAGCATGCTTGGGACCTGAATGTCTTTCCTGTTGAAGCTGAGTCGTGAGCAGAGAGCCCAGACGTGGAAGCCTTGATGGAGATTTCAAAGACTCCACTGTGTTTCAAGGCATCTTCGAAGCCTTACAGGAGACATACATCCAAACATGAATGTTGGTGTGCACCTAAAAACTTCCTGACCGCGTGAACAGCTGGAAACGGGAGGCTGCAATTAGCTCTCGGTTCCAGCCCTAGGCTGTTTGATCTCAGCTTGATCCAATCTAAGCTTCATATCCCAAACACACACACACACACACACACACACACACACACACTCCTTATAACCCAAAGTGTGGGAGTGTGGATAGCAGCTACACCAAGGAGGGTACCTAGCGCCTTCAACACCAATGTTTTCTTGGGTGGATTCACTGTAACTGGGGAAGCCACCAATGTTTCTAGGATTAAGTGTCTGCTCTCATGACACCATTTATTTTTTATTTATTTAGGACTAATTGCTATGACATCAGCAGACATGTTCACCGAAATCTACACAGTACATATTCTGCATATTACATTTTCATGATAGAAATTAAGAGAAAAACTTGATTAGCACTTTGACTTTGCGATTGTGACAGTGGTCTCAATGGACAAGAGTGTCATTGCTGGACATCAGAGAACACAGAGGTTTTAAACTTCTCTGTATATCGCATAAGAAATGATATATATGTATAATACAAGTATTAATTACAAGACTAATGCATATGCATGAACCAATCATTGTGGCTGCTTTGCTCACACACTCCTGAGAATGGGGCCACACACCAAACACTTACACAGCCCCTGGAAGACTGCAGTGAGTCCCATCAATCTCCGTGGATTTGTTCCTCACAATAAACCATGGCAATTATCATCAAAGAAGAGAGAAGCCTGGATGGTACTAAGAGGTAATGAACTCTGAAGTTTGGGGGTGGTTCATATATGGTAACCTTATCCTAATATTATTAAACTACAGCGATTTCCATAAACGACCATATAAATGAATGATTTCAAAGTCTCATGACATTCATAAAGCCACATAAAATCAGAAAGAATTTTTGAATGGGAATCTGAATAGATTCTCGCCAATCACCCATCTCTATGGAGGTTCATCTTTCTGAGTTTACCATTTGCTGGGCCACTCACCTCTGGCAGGGGACTGCACAGAGATAGCTTAGTACACCATGTTCCACAATACTAAGAAGCTGAACATTCGCTTAGACATCAAATGCAGTCTTATAATTGAGAAGAAAGTAGATAATTCTCTTGGTCTCTCTCGTAAGTCTTCATGTAAACTGGCATTCCAAAGGAGCCCACAATCTCCTATGGCAACTTGAAGAATTCTTTCACCCCAGACCCACACTGCCAGTGTGCTCAGAAAGCTTCCACTTGACATTCTCGGGGATCCAAGTTCCCTCCCTTGGCCCGCCCAAATCACAGGGGTCTAAGAGAGGAACGTCTGACAGCCCACAAATGTCCTTTTTACAGAAAACCTTTATTGACTTCAGCCCAGCAACGGCCTGCATAAACAGCCCCTTTCTATTGATCCTGTGAGTTGCCACGATGCTACATTAGCATTTATTTCTCTGGATACATATTTAAACAGTAACTTCTCTTCAGCCTGTGATTACCTGGTAATGCTGACTCAGTCCGAACAGTGTATGTCTAGAACAGCCTCAGAAGATTTGGTGAGCACCCCCCTTGGCACATGGGGCATGTCTCACAGCCTCGGGCTCATGAACGGTGACCGGAGATCTTGAAACAAGGAGACATACGGACATAAGTCACCTCTACCGAATCAGGGATGCAGAGACATGAATTAGTTATCAGGGTAGGAGATGGCGTGAGGGGGCTGGGGACTGGGGGTGGGGGACTGAGATGTTGGAGGTGGGGTCGATCTGGAATCTGGGTTAGATAGAATGATAAACCTTCAAACACACACACAATCACTTAAGTTTGAGAAGGAGCAGGGTCACCTCCCCACTAAGAGATTTGGAAAGTGCCCAATAACTCATCACACCAGTTGTTTACTGGTGATTATTTGGGGAAGATTGATTTTTAAAAATCACAGCCAGCTCTTGTCCAATTTCAGGCTGTTGCTCGTTCCAAACATCACAAAGCAATTAACTCGAACCACAGTAACTTGGTCTTTCTCTGGCATAGTGACTCTTTCTGGCAAGGTTCGAAGTAGCCAGACGCTGCTACCCGTCTGAAAGATAGTTTTCAGCAAAGGGTTCCGTTTAACCACACCTAGTCTGCATGGCTGTGTGCTCATGGATCTCATCATCTTCTATATTTAGAGAGACGGGCTTTCCAAGGGAAGACGGGCATCCAATAAGGACGATCTCATCTAGAGAGGTGAGTTACTATGGTTACTGCTCAGGAGGCTGAGGACCCGTGAACGGCTGCTCCTGGCCAGATGGACCCTTTCCAGATGAGGACCTAAAACAGAAGCCTGCTCTCCAAACGTGTTGACTGAGCCTACTCCGTGGCGTTTTGTCCATAAGCACAGGCAGCCTTTGGGCGCTCGCTGCCTCCGGCTCTCCAGCCTCAGGCAGCCAGGCAAAGCAAAATCAAGGGGGGTGGAAAACTTCTGAGCACTAACCGAACAGTAGTGAGCCGAGGGGGAGTCTCATTATCCAATCCTGGGATTTAAAAATCAAATCAAGTTATCCGGGACCAGTGGCTGGTCACTTTTCAGTGGCTGGGGGCGGGGTGGGATCCGAGGCCAAGTCCCTAGCCACCTATGCTAGGGAACGCGTCTTCTCTGGGCCTCGGGGTCAGATGCCTGGCTGGAGGGGTCCTGGTATACATTACGAGGGGTCCACTCACCCGAAGACTGCGTGTGCAACTGTTTCGCGGCTCCTGTTTTTCGCGAAGGTGTCACTCTTCGGACGGGCTCTGACAACGACAGTGGCGGCAGCGGCGGCAGCGACTGCAGCTCGGCGGGGCGGCCGGCTCCTGCAGGTCGGTCCCTCCTTCTCTGAAGCGCCTCTAGCTCGGGCTCAGAACGCAAGGCGGGCGCGCGGCTTTTCTAGGCGCGCATTGGACCAAAGGGAGCAGATGTTATCCGGTTGCTAGGAGCGTTGCTAGGAGGCGATGACGCCCCTCCACCGCTCCCAGCAACTTTCCTGAACGGCTCGAGCACCAGAGGGGGCTGCTGAGAACTAGTCTGGGAGCTTATATCTGAAGTGGAGGCTGGGACAGAAGGATCCAGCCACGCGCCACTGACTTAGACCCAGAGATCTGGCAACGCGGAAGAGTCACGGGCTTGAGCGTTGAGAGAAGCCTCGCGTCCCAAGAAACGGTCACTCACTGGAGGCTAGATGGGTGTCCCCATGGAAATTGAATTTAGGGACAGTGGTGGAACAGCACTTAAAGGTGTGTGAGCTGAGCTGAGCTGTGTGGGATCCTTTGGCTCTGGGACTGTCTCCAACTGCGTTCTTGTTTCTCTTAGCAGGTTTGAGCAGTTGATGGATTTGGAAGAGGGAAATATTAATCCATGAAACTCAATCCCAAGTCTAATTCCTTTGGGTACCCGGTATGGCTGTCTCCTGACAATGTGTCAGAGATTTGGGGATGGTAGCACAGAATAGGGGAGGAGTTTCCCATGGTGTAAAATACTTCATTCAAGTAGACTTTACTTAGATCTGAGAGAGGAAAATAAACTCTTCAATTAACATGAAATTTTCTGTAAAAAAAGTAATCGCAGAACAGATATGAAATTGGATGAAAGATGTAGGGGTTCCCAGGGTTGTGGTCCAGGGACTGGAGAATAGATATGACCAAACTGCATTGTAAGTCTATATTAAACTCTTAAGGGACAAATAAAACGTATATTTCTAAATGCACCCAAAAGGGTACTTACTTCCACAAAGAAAACTTTGTTTCTTTTTTGCTTTATTGTAATTTCCACAAAGGTTTGCATGGTCTCTGACTTTTGGATAGAGACTTTTTGATTTGTGTTTTGTTTATATTCTTAGCCATTGCATCTCGTTGACACTGTTATTAGTGTTATTTTTATCGGGGAAAGAAGATGGTAAGAACCTCAAAGTGGAAACATTTGAGAAGCCAATGAACAAATTCAAGAAAGGAAGACAAAACACCTAGTAAAGACATTTTTGCCCAGCATGACCCCTTGATGGTAAATGTCCCCTAAGGAAGAAGCACAGCCTTTCCCTGGCTCCCGAGAAAGTTAGGCCAGGGCCAGGATAGAAGTCAGCGCCATTGGGAATCACTTACTAAGAAATATTTAAATTCAAGACAGACCTGTGACATAGCACTGAGTTAAAAACTGAGGTGGTAGCCATCTTTAAAGCAGGTGGGGCTACAATGTGACTCCCCAGCTCAGAAGCCTTCCGTATCCATGCAATGCCTCTGTCAAACTTTGATCTGGGGGTGTGTTTGCCTTGAGGTTGGAGAAGCTGGCAAGCTGCGCTGGAACTGGGCAGAGAAGTAATAAGTAGCCAAGGTGGGCTAAAGAGCTAATAATCATAAAGTTACTGCAATTGGGACTAAAGAGGGACTCTGAGAGCAGTTCAAATCCCCCGCATCCACCGCATCCAGCGCATCCCACGGTATGTTACATGGCTACGTTGTTATTGGCCATAGGAGACTAAACGGGACTGCCATCTCTTTCCTTCTCCTCTAGCTCTTCCTCTGGGACTCTCCTTTTGACCTTTAGCTTCCAGCCACCCAGTACTCCTCTCTACCTTGTATGGAAGAGGTTTCCAAGGACTCCGGTGTTGTGTGCACGGTATTTCTTTCTCTCTAATGTGCTTCCCTCTCACCTGGCTTCCTCCCACCCAACCTTCAAGTTGCTGTTTCAATAGGTCATTTTAGCAACGTTCCTCATTTCAGCCCGAGCCACGCTCCCCCAGCCCACCCTACACTACTCATCCTGACACGTGCTAAGCTAGTTCTCTCAGTGAGTGCCCAGTGTCTAGCACACAGGGCCAGGGAGCCCCACCGAGCCTGTGGCCATGATGTCCTCTGGGTCTCTGTTTTCCTGAGCTAGGTAGCTGTTAGTTAGCTAGAGACCCACATTGGGGGTAGCCAGGGGCTGCTGTTGTGTTCAGCTAGGGGTGTGGGAAGACTTAGGGAAGCACTGTATTTATGCACGGATTTATTTCCTTTCCAAAGACCACTGTCTGGTCTCCCTGAGCAACAGGAAGTACCCAACCTAGAGTCACTTTGCTGTTTTCCTTAGCAGTCTGCGTCCCAGCCCTCTGACCCGAATGTGAGTCCTCTGAATTGAGCTGTTTTCTTTTTGCTAGAAATGCATCCCCACAGGTTGGGACAACAGCTCGGTCAGCAAAATATTTGCTATCAAAGCCCAAGGACCTGAGTTCAATGCCCAGACTCACCTTTAAATGTTGAGCATGATAACATACGCTGCCAAGGCAGAGGTAGGCAGGATCACTGAGGAACACTGCCCACCCCCACAGGAATGGAGGAAAACCTCAGTAGCAGAGCATCTGCCTAGCATGTATGAGCCTGTAGATTCAGTCTCCAGAACTGAAAACATACAAAAAAAAAAAAAAAAAAAAAAAACCACCCATAATCTCATGCTATATCACTACGGAACCAATGCAGAGAAACCCTTTGCGCTGGGGGGGGGGGGGGAGTAACATGGGCACACATGCAATGTATCTGAACTGATCAGGCAACCTGGTCCGCTGTGATGTCACTTTCGAGTAACTGCCCTATCTCCCTTTTATTTAAGGCTCCCCTAAAAAAAATTAGACATTAGAAAATGTGAAGGAAGCATCAGGGTGACAGAGTGGCCTAGTGACAAAACTAGACACAGAAAAAAGGTTTGATTCTTTATCCCTGCAGGCCCATTGAAATCTGCAAATATCTGTGTTGTTCTTTGGTGACTACATCTTGCTACATATCCCAAGCCAGCTTTGAACTCTAGACCTCCTGCCTCAGCCTTCTGAGTGCTGGGATAACGGGCATCTGCCACGGTGTCCAGACGATAGCAGATGGAACGTCCCAAACGCTTCACTCCTGCTAGCTTCCATTCGAGCAGTATTCCCAAACTCTCCTGAAGAAGTAGCCCCAGAGACGACAGGAGTTTTAGGGTGTTTTTACGATTTGATTCTTCAGTCAAATGTTATCGGAGATGGTTAATGGTTTCAAAGTAACTCTACGGAAAGCACGACAGGCCACTAAGGACCGCCAAGAGAGGGAGGAAAAGTCTTCCCTAGGGAAGAGCACACCAACTGGCTATCCAAGGCCAACCGGTCAACCCTGAAAACATACATACAAGTGACATTATACAGACTGAGACGGTTGTATTTCTGTATTTAGGAATCCATATGTATATACATAGATTCATATAAGAATAATTAATGAAAAAAGAGGCCGTGAATTTGAAAGAGAACAAGGAGCAGTATATGGAAAGGAAATTGACATATCAAGAAATAAAAAAATGTAAAAGGGGATTTCACATTATAAATAAATCATGCTATAGAGCTTAAAGCCTACCATATGGGCTTAGAAATATAAGGAAAAAGATATCCATGGTCATAGAAAGGGTTACTATTTCAGCCCCTAAAGATGGGAGAGTCTCAGCTGAAGTGTCACGAGGCAGCCGTCCTAGGCAGAGTTCTAGAGACTCCAGATGACATATTCTAAACTTAGTTACCCAAAGACCTGTTTCTTCTGCACTCTTCTTTACTTACAGCTTAAACTGTGTATTTTGGTACCTTCATATACCATCTGTGGCTCACTGTGGCCCATATGTAGGAGCATTTAGCCTTGCCCAGGCTACCAGCCCAGAGCAATTTGCCATGGACTTGAAGCCTTCATTTCAGCAATGTTCCCACCATCCCGAAATGCTTGAAATCCAACGTGACTGTTGGTGAACAAGCAGAAGACTTTAGCCAGCCTATATGGTCCTTGTACAGCCACGGGTGAGAAGGACCTGGGGTTAAAATGCAGCTCAGCACCACGAGGTCTTTGGTTGTGACCACCAAGGTGTCAACACTTATGAAGAAGCTCATTTCAGACAATGGACCAAAGAAAGGATGCCAAAGTGTGAGATGCTGTCTAGAGGATGCTTGCTATTTTCAGATCATCTCCCCCATTAAAATTCCCAACCTTTTCAAAAGAAAACTGTATTGCTTTTTTTATTTAGTGTGTGTGCACATTCATGAACACGCATACCAGGGTACATGTGTGGATGCCAAAGCAATTTGTCCATCTCATTCAAAACATGGGTCTAGGAGATCAAACTCAGGTCTCTGTGGCTTGATTCTCCACCATCTTAAAGACAGTAGAGTTATATGGCTGGTCTTGGCCAATAGAGGTTGGACAGAAGTGTAGCCCCTAGATCAGATTGCTTCATTCTCTCTCATGCCTTTCTTTCTCCCCTGTTGAAAAGGCAGAGTGTTCCTTGAAACACATTATGACTCGAAGGTGGCAAAACCTCAGATGGAGAGGTACTCAGAAGAAAGCTGCATGGTCAAAAAAATGGTTCAGACTGTGGAGTCGAAAAACCTTCTGGAGCAAATATGCCCACATTCAGGACAACTAGTGATGTTAATGCCACAGCCAACATAAAAATAGCTCGTCAAAATAGTGGAAAAAAACTGTTCCTGGAGGGTTTAGAGAGGAGTGCCGCGCTGTCTTTCAGTCTGGAGGACTTGGACTTGGTTTCTGTGCTATGGAGCTGCTGGTTGGAACGGCTGGGCTCCCTCTCCTTTGAGCTCCATGCATCTCAACACTGTAAACTAGAGATGAGTGAGCACGGAGGGGGTCAGGATATCTGGACAAGAGTGTCCCTGAAGGGGAATCGCCTCTACTGAAGCTGAATAAATCAGGCAATACTTAGGGTTCTGACCTGCAGGTCTGCAGCTGGGATGGTTTTTGTACATGGTAAAATAACATCATTCGGGCTCATAAAATATACAAGGTGCTGCAAAATACCTTTTTC